TTGGTATAAAAGTTACGGCAGCAATTTAGCAATTTCAACGGAGAAATTATGAAACCTAGCTTCTAATATAGTATTGTGCTTAAATTTTTGGAGTCGTGGTATGAAAGAGGAAAGCCATCAGAACAATAACCATGAAAATATTTAGAAAAGAGGCAAAGGGAAGCTACGTCACGGTAGTGGGAAAGTGTCATGTGAGGTCCGAAGGTGATGCTGATTCTTCTTTGGCTTTAGGCAGGAATCGCTAGGAAAAAAAGCAGAAGCACCAGACCGGCTGTAATATTCGATACACGAACGAATGGTAGACATATAAATGTGTAAAATAGATTCTATCGAGAAAAGACGTAGTGTGTGGTCGGCAATAAAGACAGGAAAAAAGTCATAGAAAAGCGTCACAAGTTCGGCGAGGAAAAATGTCACAAAAAATTTTTGGTGGACAGTAAAAAAAAAAAAGTCATCTATTTCTGTCGGGTACTTAACGAGTTTATCGACCCGCTCTGTTTGCAGTAGTAATTCATAGTAAATCGACCCAACCTCTAAAAAAAACGTTTTTATTTTTATTTTTTTAACTATACTACGGTCACATATTCGACATATTTCATAGTTAGGTGTCCTAGTACCACATAAGACACGAGATTTTGTGTAGAAAGCATTAAGAAGTGTGTTTTTAAATATATATATATATATATATATATATATTTAAAATATATATATATATATATATATATATATATATATATATATATATATATATATATATATATAAATATAAATAACTAGACTCGTTTTGAAAACCCTCGATTTTTTGATTTGTTAATCAAATCAATTTCGAGGAAAAAAAAGGTTTTAAAAAAAGAAAGAGCTACAAACATAAACTTCTGCCGACAAAAATCGCACAGATGCAGGTTTGAAGCCCAAAGAAAAACCCCGATACGAGTAACAACTAACTAACAAAAGAGCTCAATACAATCGTTGAGCAAACCTAGATATACCTAGTGAGCCAGACAAACCTACCTGGTTTCACCTAAACGGATCGTCAGGAAAGCGTGGCCACGCTTTCCTGACGATCCGTTTAGGTGAAACCTAGGTAGGTTTGTCTGGCTCACTAGGTGTATCTATATATATATATATATATATATATATATATATATACCGGGTGTAATAGCAAAATTGTACAAATCGTGTAACACCATAATTGTCCATCCAGCAAAATGTTTAATATATAAGACCACTAAACTAATTGAGTTTCTTTTTTCCAGGTTTTCAAAAAAAAAAACGTTTAGCCATTAGCCATCTTGACACCATTTGTCGTAAGAATCATTGAAAAAAACTTTTGAATTATTCAGTTAGAAAGAAAATAGTTTAAAATCGTTTTATATCAGCCCAATTGTCTTTCCAAATCAGCAATGGTGAGAAGAAAAAATCATTCAGGCCTTGAGCAATTTTACTAACATTCATACTCTGGTTTCGATCTTCAAAGTCTATTCAGGAAGGATCATCATTTCAACATAGAGCTAAAGAGATCGATTAGAAAGGATCCAACACAATCCATATAACGTTTGGCAGGTGAGAGAGGACTTTCAGCTATGACAGTTCAAAGAGCAATGAAAAGAGACTTGAAAATGAAATCGTACACTAAACCTGAGAGGCATATTGTTACCCCTGGACAGAAGGTTATAATGGTATAAAGGGCGAAGATCATCTTGAATAATTTGGAAAATAATCCCTATAATATATATATATATATATATATATATATATATATACATATATATATATATATATATATATATATATATATATATATATATATATATATATATATATATATATATATATATGTATGTGTGTGTGTATGTTTTGTGCGTATATAGCTATGATTAATTAATGATGAACATGTCATTTTCGTTTATTCACGATTCTTCTGTTAAGCTTGGGGAATAATTATACACTCCTTTTGATCAAGGTAGAGTCCAGTAGTATTGTAAAAAAAAAACGCGGAGAATTCCAGTAAGATATCTTTAATCATTTCTAAGATACAACAATTCAAAGCTTAATCTAACAATTGGACAATTTTGCTATTACACGATTTCACAATTCTACTTTTACAACCGGTATATATAATTATGTACAAGGTAAATTGTCGATCGCTGCGTGTCTGTGAAAAAAAAGAGGACAATCAACATGCACACGCACACACACACACACACACACACACACACACACTCACACGCATAGGAAATTTGGTTCTGATTAGTCCTGCGACGGATTTCAAAATTTCCGGTAAACTTATTTATCTTAAAGAATTTCAGTCATTGCAAGTTTCCAGGCCAATACAACTCCGAAAATGGCCATGCTGCTAGGAGTTTTCTTTTTTTAATGCAGGTAAAAAATCAATCTCAGGTCGAATGTCACAAGGAAAGAGTCATGGAAAAATTTTCGCAATTGTTTTTAAAAATGAAATTCCAATCTCATAAATAAATCGAAAATTAAAGGAACGTCAATTTTAATGTAAAATTGAAACTTTCTTCACATAATGTAGGGGCTTATGACTTACTACCTCTTTTTAGCTATGACATATATCGAATATGTGACCGTAGCATTCTTTTTCACAGATAATCTGTCTTTACACTATTTACATTATTCGGACTATTGTCTTCAAGTGTGTTGTCAAATTTATCACAACGTTTCGGTCGATGTACGTTCCGGCCTTCTTCAGGTGGTTAGAGGGTCGAACTGAACCCTTTATTTCGCTCACTAGAGTAGACTGTTCTAGTTCCACGTGCCATGTCTAATGGATGTCAGTTATCAGTTATCTCTTGTTAATTCCCCTCTCAAAGTTCTCCACCATCTTAACCAGGTATTGAACTCACACTCTTTGTGTCCTGTCACTGGATCTAACTAACGCCTCTATCCAGAGATCTTGGAGAGGGAACTAGAACAATCTGGTGGAGAACCTGAAGAAGGCCGGAGCGTACAACAGCCGAAACTTTGTGATAAATATGGCAACAAAGATGAGGACAATAGTCCGAATAATGTAAATAGTGTACATAATACTTTATCTTAGAAATGTAGACAGATACTAATCTGTCTTTGTATACGATATGTGTGGCTTAGACTTCAAAAGCTTCTTCACATAATCGGGTCGGGTAATATAGAACACTAGGACTTTATAAATTGAATATGTGACGATAGCATTGTTAGAAAAAAGTTTTTAAAGATTGGGTCGCTTTACTATGAATTTTTGTTGTAAGCAGAGCGGGCCCATAAACTCGTTAATTAACGGACAGAAATAGACGATTTTATTACCATCCCTTATAAATTGTGACTTTTTACTTACCCGAAATTGTGATATTTTTGCTTGTGATTTCTTTCTTTGACTTTATTACCGCCCCCGGTTTCTCACGTCTAGATAGTGGCTTTTATGTCTAGATTGATTACCAAACCAAAGCTCTATATGTCCGTTAGATGAGGACTCGTTTTTTTTCTTGCTAATGCCACCGTCTACCCAATTTCAATCACAAAGTTTCGATTAATCAGATGGATAGTTTTCAGGCACTTCCCAACGGTGACACACGCAAGATGCTATTCTAAATTCTAAAGTCATCTCATTGACCATTTAATAGAGAGATTAGAACACGTGTCGCATGGCTGTAAAGCTAATAGTCAAATCATTGAAACACCGCCATCGTACACACAAACATACAAATGAAATGCATGCGATACAGTTCGAGTAATACCTCATTTAATGTTTGAACCAGTAGTGTACGGAGCTCTGATCAGGTTCATGTTCATATTTTAGAAAGGCAGCTCACAATAAACACTTTAGAGGATTATTATTTACGGGCGATTAGAATGTCCGCTTCCCGACTATAAGACCCGGGTTTGAAACACATCATAATCGGTTTGTCAGAGGGTGACTTCTTGAATGTTATCGGTATGTGGTGGAAACCTCAGGTTATGGTATATTTGGAAAACTGTTGCATCAGAAATTGAGTAGAAGTGACTGTTTAGAACAATATTACCACATTAAATAGAAGCAGAATCTTGTGTCTATGAAATCTTTCGTTATCCCTTTATTCTCCAGACCTGGCACTATTTGATTTCCATTTTTCCTCAATCCAAGAAGTCCTATTTTAAAGGCAGGAAATTCCATAATGATGACATACTGATTAATGAGGTACCGCAGTCCCAGTCTACGGAGTTCTGAAAGAAAGGTCTCCAAGATGCACCAAAGTGTCTCACTATAAATAGAAGATATACGGTGGGGGAGTATGAATCAATATATCAATTTTATGTCTGTCTATTCACTGACAATGGGTCAGGACGAATTTTATATATATATATATATATATATATATATATATATATATATATATATATATATATGTATGTATGTATGTATGTATTATCAAATGGATGTATATCTATAGGAGAGACAAAATGATAGAAAAGAAAAGAGTAAAATTATACTTAGTTTTTAGCCGAAGCTCTTCGTAATCTGACCGACTTTAGCAAGGCAAATGTGATGATTTTATTTTACAAGTGTCTATTTGACAGTTACTTAAAATTTCTAAATTTATTCAGATTAACTGAAAAGTTAAGGGGCTAGAACCTAGGTTACATCATATATTATATCCAGAAAAATAATTAAAATTTCAAGACGCTCAGAAATATTCATCGGATTAACTGAAATGTGTAGACATTTAGAGCTTAGATTACGTCATTTACTCGAAAAAGAAATATAAACCTTTAAAAATTGAAATGATGGATTCAGACGTTTTCCTTTGAATTTTCAAAATATTTGTTGTGCATGTTGGTTTGGGAAAGTAGTAATTCCTTCAGAAAAGGTGAGATTGGGAAAAAAATCGGTGCGTAGATTGATATTTTGATAATATTCGATGGCGACACTCCTAAGTATTTTCCTTCTGAGTAAATCACGTTCTCTCTTGATGAATGTGGCATTTTTAGATCAAAAGTTTCTGTGCAAAAAGTATATAGACAGATAGATAGATAGATAGATAGATAGATAGATAGATAGATAGATAGATAGATAGATAGATAGATAGATAGATATTTCCCGCTGTGATAATAGGACTCGAGTTTTCCAGAAAAATATCAAAAGAATCTCACGCGAACTGAGAAATCCTTGCTTAAAACAGGAAATCTGTTTTTCTGATTGCGGTAACTGTGTATGTATCGTTTGTCTGCACACACAAACACACACAGGGATTCGTCGTAAAAAACGCTCATAAACCTGATTCGGTTTTTCAGCTGTGATTATTGCGTCTCTAACATCAGCAGTAGAAGTCGGTTTCAGTTAAAAAGCTGGGAATACAAATACTGATTTTTAAATTAGGCAAATCAACTTCACTTGAAAGACTAGCGCAACAACATACCCTAATGAACCAATGAGCCATATGTGACTGACTCACCTAATTTGTAAATGTAAATAAGTAGTTAATCAGCCATAGTGAATTGAAAAATGTCGCAAAATCATAGTGACGGGAAAAGAATTACCTCAAGTAGACATTTTAAACAATTTTATTAAACTTTAAGAAGAAATGAAGAAAATTTCAACTTTTGGCAGCATTAACGATTCTTCCACTGGACACACTTAGGACATGACTGAACAATCTTAATGTATCTTTCTTAACATCAATAAATATATTCTTGCCACACCTGGCCTGGTTCTTCTGCTGTGTATTTAGATTCTTGATAAAATCCAAAGGCGTATCTATCTTGCATATATATAAGTCTACTATTCATTCTTCCTTGCTTCGAATATTGCTACCACATCTGGCCTGGTGTTCTTGCTATGTATTTAGAGATTCTTAATAAAATACAAGGAAGAATCTCTAATGTTATTGATGCAGTCCTGGCGTCTCGGCTTCAGTCACTTTCTCACCGCCGTAACGTTATTATAAAATAATAATAGTGAAAATAAATATCTGAAAAGTACTACTAATAAAAAGAAGTCTAACTAGTAATAAAAGTATGATAGCGAAAATTAATAAAATCAAAGGTAATAATAATTAATATAAATAATGGTGAAAAGGTTACTCGGTAAAGAGACTTTGATATGAAGTAATACTAGTTATGAAATAACAGTAATAAATATTCATTTAAAAAGTAATATTAATAGAATGAAGTGCAATTAATTTAATTCTCGGATGAGGAGTCATCGTGATTTAAATTCGGTCGAATCTCTTCATCTTTGTTGTTCTTATCACAACATTACATCTGTTTACCTTCCGTAATTCCCTGTAGCTTATCCGGGATTATATGCACCTAACGAAAGTCGTAGGGCACAACTGACGAAACATTGTGATAATAACAACAAAGATGAGGATAATATATTGGAATATAAATACTAGTTGTCACACATGAAATGATGCACTTTATAGGAAATGAATAAAACGCTTCGGAAATGTTAAATAACTAATTTATTTAATTGAAATAGGCACCATGTTGATGAATGACTGTTCTCCAATGTAACTCTAAATTCTTGCCCTCATGCAAAAATTTGGATCCTTTAACTGTTCAAATTACTATTGATTACCTTTTCCTCATTGGAGAATGTTTTATTGCCTATGAAAAGCTCAAAATGCTTAAATAAGTGATAATCAGTAGAAGAGATTTGGCTTGAATATAGAGGATGAAGTAAAATTTCATAATTCAGGCTATGCAGATTTTGGACAGTTGATTGTGAAGCGTGCGGCTGTGTGTTGTCGAGCAGCAAAATTGCGCCACACCTCATCACAAATTTAGGATGTTTCTTTTCCAATTTTTTGTGCATACACTCAATTTCTCCACAATACGAGATTGCTGTTATTGTTTTCCTTGTGGCAATTATGAATTACCCTTTCGAAAGACCACCATACAGTAATCATTAACTTTTTAGGTTGCAGTAGAGGTTTTGGGGATGGTTTTGGTGATTCCCTTGCATCTAACCACTGGCCTACTGTCTTATTGTTGTCAAAGAGTATCCATTGCTCATCGCTTGTAATGATTCGATGTAAAAATGGTTCTTTTTCCCAGTTTGTACACATACAGTAAGATTACACGACATTATTTCATTGTAATCATTTTCATTGGGCTTATGAGTAACAATATATTGAAAGGAAAATTATTTCGAAAGAAAAAGAATCAGGAATAAGTCAAGATTTTTTTATATATTAAGAAGTTATTTAGATAGACGATCGGATCAACAACCAACCCAAAAATAAGTCATTTCGTATGGCAACTTCCTAGTTTAAATAATAAAGTGAAATTATTACAAAAAACAAAACAAAAATAAAAACGAATAATAGTGGAAACATTTATGGGATAGGAACAACAAGCTGGAGTGAAACTACTAATAAATTAATAATGGTAAATATTCTTCATTTTAATGATAACAATTTAATGAGCATTCTTTACTTAAAAAAGAAAAATCAACAATGGAGTAAAACATATAACAAAAAGATAACATCGACTCGTCCTTGGTATGACGATTAACTACATGCGGCAGCAAGGCCTCTGATCAAGATGTTTTGAGGAGCGTGAAACCACCCGTTAATTGCTGTTGTTCCGAGGTCCAACATTACCCGGGGTAGTAGCACATTTTAGGGTCCCAGCTATGGGCAAATTCCTAACACCCAAACTAGGATCAAAACACTATGAAAGTATAAAATACATTTTTGAAAAAAAATATTACCAGCTATACCTAAAAAATATTACCAGCACATTTTTGAAAAAAAAAAGAAAATTACTAGCAATACATTTTTGAAAAAAAATATTACCAGCAATACAATTTTTTTAAAAAGAAATCACCAGCAATACATTTTTGAAAGAAAAAAATTACCACAATACATTTTTGAAGAATAAATATTACCAGCAATACATTTTGGAAAAAAATATTAATACATATTCTATTCATACGAACCTATCCTAAAAATCATGCCGGCATTAAATAACCCATTGAAGTAGTTATGCTGTAAAACAAAATAATCCCATAAACTGGACAATTACTAACGAAATTGTTAACGTCTGATATTTTTATTTTAAAACAAACAAAAATAAATTCAACAAAATATTTCAACTTCAATAAAAGTTTCTGTGTTTATTTTGCCATCAATTTAATTTAATGATTAAAAGATTTTCTCATAAGAAAATACAGTGAAATTGTTTTACTTTAATGTAGAATACCTCGCCTTAATTTATTTTGTGAAATCACAAGTTAATTACTCGGATGCCGATGATAATTTATTTGCACAAATCAAGAAACAAATAATACAGATGAGTTTGATTGTAAATTGAAAAATGGCCGCATCAAAATGAAAATTGACAATTTTTGTTCGTTTTATTAACAAGTAAATATAGCAAGACTATACTTCAGGCCAACATTTTGAAAAAGTAGATTTTGCTTAAGAGTAAGGATAGCAGAAACATTTCAAAATCCCCCCCAGGCTCTATCTTTGGTCCAAGTTTCTTTTTAATGTTCATTAACGACTTTCCCAATGATATCAACTCCCAATTTGGTATCTACGTTGACACAACCATTTAACCCGTCTATATAGTAAGTCTGATAAGTTCGTTAAGGTCAAATTCGCGGATGTTGTAAAAAACGACTTTCAGTTAGTTGTTAACTAGGGCAAGGAATGGCTTGTTAATTTAAAGGCTTCCAAAACTAAACTACCCTCTATTAATAATCTGATACACCCCTTTCTGTTTTCCATCGTCATACCCAGGAATACATCTAGATAGTCCTGTGTATGACGATAAACTAAATCTGGTAGCAAGGCCTCTGATCGGGAGGTTTGACGAGAGTGGAACCATCTCATAATTGCTGTTAATCCCAAGTTCTCCCTGACACGGGGTGGTAGCACCTGTTAGGGTACCAAGTATGGGCAAATTCTGACCCCCCAAAAAAAAAGAAAAAATAAACCACAATAAATCTATAAAAATACATATTTGTAGTACTATTACCAGTAATACCTATTTCTAGTAAATTCAACAATAATACATTTTAAGTAAAATGGCCAATAATATATTCTGTAGCAAAATGACCAACAATACTTTTTATCTGTAGCTGAAGGCATGTAATTGCATTCAAAATATTTCGATTTCGGTATTAAATAACCCATAGATGTTGATATGCCGCTAACGCTCTTTCCTGGCATTAATCCATATAATATCTTACAATTTCTTAAAGAATTCAAACTGTATTCCAAAATATAAATTCAACAAAACTATAACATAAAACACATATCACTATCTCTAGTAATTATGTTCGCAGAAAATGTACATGTACAAAGTTGAGTATCATCTACCATGTATTCAACTGTGAAAGTAGAATAACATATATTATGTTTTTATTACACCAAAGTTCACAAAAAATAAATTTTAGCATTAAATGACCCATAAGGAGTTGATATGCCGTTAAACAAAATAAAAACAAAACAGACGTCTAGGAGAGTGACTCGTTGCACCTTCTCTGCTGACATGAAATTCAAAGATTATATTGAATCCATTGCTGAGGTCAGTTGCAGAAATTTGCTTCACTCTGTCATGCTAGACAATTTTTCTCTCCAGAATTTATGTTACATATCTATCAGTCTACCATTCGTCCATGCTCAGAATATTGCTGTCCGGTGTTCCTGTTATATATTTAGAGATCCTTGATAAAGTTCAGAGAAGAATCAGCAAATTTATTGATCCTGATGTGGCATCTCGGCATCAGTTACTTTGCCACCGCTGTAGAGTTGCCACTCTGTGCTTTTTCTATAAATAGTCCCATCTAATTGTTCGGATAAGTTCTTCGCTATGGTATCTAGGCTTTTAGAATTTAAGTGCTGTATTAGATTGGCAACAAGGTCTCATCAATCTACAGTTGAGTTGGGTAGATAGAACCGTAATTTCTATGCTAACAGTTTCTTTTCACGCACTCCTCACTTGTGAAACTCTCTTTCAGCTCAATGCTTTCTTGTCAACGGGCGTGCGTTTCACTGCTATTCAATAATTTTAAAAACACTAATACATATTTATTAGTGTGGCGATATGTTAACTAGTACCAGTGGTCTCCGTCTATATTTCTGAGAA